AACAATTGTTGGTGAAGTGATTGTTGACAAAATGAATCAAACCATATTTATTTCTACATTTATCAAATTCGCGATTTTAATTGGTCAATCAACAAATAGCATGGGTTAAAATTTGTGTTCCCTCCTGTTAATTTTGTGTTCCCAGAACGGTCTCTCCTGTTACTTTGATAATAATAGGGTGTAACCCCTTAATGAGTCTCATTTGAGATTCGGATTCAAACACCTAGTATAAATAAACTGATTTTTCATTGTTGAACGGATTTATAATATTAAGTTGTTGCTATTTTTGCATATACCACTGCTATATAATGTGGATACAGAATCTTGTATCAAAGATGTGGAAAATAATTTGGAGATATTAAAGGGGAACATAGCCCATGTATGATTATATCTTATGATGTTGATTTTTTTTTTCACTATTTTTACTGATACAAGTTCAGGCTTTTGCAAAAGCAAACTCAGAAGCTGAAAAACTTCTATGGGAAAGGCTGGTGAACGACTTAAAAAAAATAGACTTGACACAACTTCCATATAATCACCCTCTATATTCTGGTATATTTGATATTGAGTCATCACCTATTTCTGATTTGCCAGATTCTCTTTGTAATGTTTTTGAGGAAAATACCAAAAAAAAGTTTTGCATAGATAATAATGAAGCATTGTTGCAAACTTGCAAAGAGTATATTCAAGAGGTAAGTATTGGTTTAGAAGAACCCCCTTTGGAAACATGTGATCCTCCATTCAGTCAATGGATTATCAGGAAATTTTTCTGACGCAGATTTATGTAATTATTACACTATTTATGTAAGTTTACAGTGGGCCCATAATATTATGCAAATAAGCATACAAAAATTATGCAATTATTACATCGAGTGTAAATATTACATAATTTTTATGCAAATATTACAACTTTACATATTAAAATTTATGGATGTAATATTGAGGCGGGGAAAATTTCCTGATGATAGAGTGTCCAGAGAAGTTGAAAGTTATAATGAAGCAATCATTGGAAGCATTGTAAGTTTATTAATGACTATATTACTTTGATTGATAAGTTAATCATCAGTTAATAAAAATTAATGTAATTTTAGACATCAGCTTTGGTTGGACCTTATTGAAATATAAGTCATATATTTTAAATTAGACAGTGATAAATGAAGGATCATATGTTAGTGAAGTTCTGGCACCATTATTTAACATTGCTTTGAGGGATTTACCAACAAAACAAAATATGAAAAATCTGGTAAGCAAATCAGTTTTGTTTTAGATAATGTTAAAAAGTATGACATTCATTTCTCAAAAAAATCAGGGGTAATATAACAAGTTGATCAGACACTGTGCAGAAGGGTAATTCATGTAGTGCATGTAGGCCAGATCTCATGCTTATTGCATTTGTAAATGATCAAAGGGTTGATATTCTAAATTTGGAGACTGGTTGTCCAGATTCCTCTAAATGAAAACAAGAACCAGATTGTTTAAAGTTAGTACAACTTGCAAAGATTTTGATGGATTTTGCAAGAGATTATCTTAAACAATTTATAAAGAAGGGGGTATTGACTAATTTGCCATCAATATTTTCTATCAATATTGCAGGTAAGTGGGTGTAAAGTTGGTTTATTATCAAATAAATCTAATAAGTAATGCTATGTACGGATTCCATCTGATGTTTTTAGGAGACGATTTAAGGATTTATAGTATGCATATGGAAAATGGTATTTTCAGAAATTGTTTGCTGACTTGAGTGACTATACCATTACATATGGTATCAGCTGATGGTATCTACCCACTTATCCATTCATTGCTCACTTTAAGGGGGGTTTTTTTAATCTTCCTAATAATATAATAATTTTGCTTAGTGCTCTTGATAGCATTATATAGATTGTCAAATGTTGTCAAACAGCCAGTTCATACAATTTATCCTGAAATAAAATCAACACTAATTTGTAGCGTAAATTTAAACCATTCCAACCATGTGTGACTCAAACATCTGACAAACTATTATTATTCTTGAACAGCCTTTGTTTATTATTTGGACAATAAAATAAAAATACAAGCAGACAGTCTTAATTGAAAATAAATTTATTCCAAATCATTTTTTCTAAAAGATAGAAAGGTAATTAATTATATTTAACAATTATTATTTTCCAAATATTGAAATAACTGATAAACAACTATATTTTAATTTACAGATTGAATCAAGTAAAAAATACTTCTTGACACAATTAATGCTGCCCTATGAACGTAATCTATGGGAATTCCATACATTTTCTGAAATTGAGATTTTTTAGGTAACACGATCAAAGGAAATAAAGAAAATCCGTCACATAAATTTTATTAACTAATAGGGAAAAGTAACCCGACTAACGTCAATACAAGTCGAGACAAATGTTATTATATTTGTTTTATTGCAACGTTCGTTATAAACATGTTACAATAACGAGTGACGAAAATACTTTCCTTAATTAATTAATAAAGTTTATACAATTCTCGCTCTAAAATGTCCTGTTCATAAACACAAGGTTTGACCTTATCTCATATAACTATCTCTATTCGTGAGATCACACTTGCTGAAGGTCAAGCATATTTGGCATTGAGTAGAGCAAGCTTCTCGGAAAACTTGAACATCCTAAAATTTGATTTTTCTCAAATAAAATGTTCAAAAAGTCCTTTGATCGAATATAAAAGATTGGAAACTTTTAATGTAAAATGTTTATTTGTATAATTTTTTAATAAAGTAGGCTTGGCGGTACCAATGACTTTTTCTGGGGGGATGGCGCACCGCTCCCTGCTTACTTCAATATCTTGTTTTTGTATAAATAATAAATTTTTGCAGGCTGCAACAAATCAAAATAACAAATATTAGTGATAAGTAAGCGTTAACAAGTTAAAATGTATGACTAACTCTGAGGAAATTTACAATGGGCTCCTCCGAAATATACATCAACCAGCCAATAAGGAATTCAGTTTTAATTTAAACTTATTATTATTATTATTATTCGTTATTATAAGGTTGTAATTTCTGTTCACTTGCTTTAATAGTTTGATTGGGAGTTTTTCTCGAGTAAAGTGATATTGCCTGACTGATTAAACTACATATTCTTTATATTGCGTTATGAGTGATACTTATTTTCAATCATATACCATCATCACCTTCGCCTGACAAGTGCCTATCCCACAACAAAGTAAAGAGAGGGATATTGTATAGATCAATTAAAAAAATTGACGCAATCAATCTCACACAACATCGATTGACCATCATAAATATTTGTACTGTAATATACTGAATTTCTTCGATTTTTTAAACCAAGAAAATTAGAGAGCTACTTGGTGAATAGTTGATAAAATGAAACATTATATTAGTATGCCATATCTTGACCCCTTTATATATATATATATATATATAAGATGAAACTCTACTGCTCAGTGCTGGAAAAGTATCTCAAAATGACCTCAAATGACCATCTATACGTGCAATTTTTAAAAATTTACTGATAGTCATTTTCTAACTATACCTCTTTTGGTTCGAATATAATTTATCCCAAAAGAAAATTAGATTTGATTCCATGTAACACAATTTTTTCAAAAAAAAAAATGATTTTTTTGACATCAGTAAAAAAAACAAATTCATTATATTATAATTTTTTCAAAAAACCGAGAAATTTTCATACGACGATTTCATCTTTTGAAATTATTACATATCGAAACTTCATTATTAGAAATAGAAGATGCGAAATTAACAACAACAATGATATCATAGTTGATAAAAGATGTTTGAGATCATTTATTAGAACATTTAGTTCTTCCTCTTCAACCATTTTACGAAATCATCAACAACAACATCACCAACAACAACATCATCAGCAGAATCAGCAACAGCATTATCTATTAATTCAACAATTCTTACTATTTAATAATTTTATGTATAATAATAAAGAGCACAAACCGACCAAACAAAATCAATTGTCAATAAGCAGCAAGAAGAAGAAACAAGATCAAATATTATTGGATAGTGGTGAGAAAGTGAAACAAGATCAAATATTGTTAGTTAATAATAATGGTGAGAAGAAAAAGCAAGATCAAATATTGTTAGTTAATAATAATGGTGAGAAGAAAAAGCAAGATCAAATATTATTGTCAAACAGCGAGAATAAGCAACAACAACAAAAAAAAAAGGAAGTGATAGTAGAAGAAAAAAAGATTGATCCAATAGTGACAAAAATAATTGAAAATTTAAGAGCAAAAAATCTAAAAGAAATCAAAAGCACATTATTGAATGATGAAAACAAACCAGTAGTTGGGAGTGTTGAAGATGCATTGAAATTTAAAATGGAATTTTATAATCATCTAAATTCATTTGAATTGGAAACACTTGACAAATTATTAAGAAATCATTTGGTGGAAACATTAGAACCAGATGGTCAATTAAACAATGTATTAAGTATCATTGAAACTTATGATATTGAATCACAAAAATCACAAAAAGAGTTTGAGAAATTAAAATATTTTGAATTGTTAAAATCAAAAAATTATGATGAAGCTTATAATTATTTATATGAGAAAATTAGTGATGTTGATAGTAGTGGCATCGAATATTTACTAGATATTAACAACTATATCAAAAATACTAATAACTATAATGTTAATGATGGTAGTGGTGGTGGTAGTAGTCATAATAGCAGCAGCAGCAGCAGTAATAATAGTAATAATGTTGGATTGGAAATAAATTATAAATCAAATGAAATAATAATAAAATCATACTTTAATAAAATGACCAATAACATTGACAGCCAAAACATAATTATTGATAAAAAAACAAATTTGATAAAAAATTTTATTTATAAATTATTTATGATGAATGAAGTTGAGCTGATTAATAAGATGAATGAATTAATTATCAGTAAAGATATTGCGACTAACGAGGAAATAATCAGATACATATTAATGGGATATTTTGAATCGCACAAGTTTGATGAACCTTTGAATTTATGGAATAAATTAAGAGAAATGAAGGTTATCAAATTAAATAGTTTGTTGTACAGTGAAATGATTCGAGGATTTTCAATGAAGAATCATTTGCAACCAGTTGAAAAACTGTGGAAAGAAATGAAATCAGATAAAGTTGAACCAAATCTTCAAATTTATTCCAGCTTGATGGAAATTAATTTTAAATTGGGAAAAGTTGACAAAGCAATTGAAATCTTCAAAGAATCAAATAATTTAATTAATAGTGGCGGTGTTAGTGGTGCTGGTGCTGATGGTAAAGATACTGCTAATAGTAATACTACAAGTAGTGGCAATCATAGAATCATTAGTGATAGTTATTTAATTAACCAGAAACTAATCAAAGGACTTTTGATGAATAGAAAACAGGAAGAAGCACTAAGAGTTTATAATTATTTGAAAGATAATCATATAAAACATCATCATAATAGTGGTGGCGGCGGTGATGGTGGTGATAGGAGTAATCAGATCTTAAATACATCAATATATAATATATTATTTGATCATATTGATACTAGAGCTATAATAATAGAATTATTTAATGATATGAAAGCATTGAATGTTCGTCTGGATGATTACACACTTAATATATTATTAAAGAAATATATCAAATATAACGATATTGTGTCAATAAGGAAAATAATAAACTTATTTAATTTTTACAAAATAGAAATGAACCAAGTAACTTATACTACATTAATGAATTATTTAATTAGAATCAATGATAAAGAATCTTTAAATAATTTAATGAAGTTCGATAATAGTAATCGTAGTGGTGGTAGGAGTAACTATAACAATCTTCGTAACAAGAATAGAAATATTATTAATTATAGTTTAATGATTAAACGTGACATTAAAAATAATGATCTTGAGAAATTAAATCTCACATTGAGTGAAATGAAGTCTGAAAATATTTCTTTAACTTTAGTAATCTATAATTCAATATTTGATTATTATATTAAATATAATCATTTTGATGATTTGTCAAAGATTTACAATCAATTTTCTCAATCAGTCAATCAAAATCTAATCAAGCCAAACTTAACTACATATTACATACTATTAGATGGTTACCTATCAAATGACAGATTAGATGATGCATTGAAAATTTATTCTGATTACAAGAAATCTGGTTTAAAGAACTTTGATAATTTAGAATTTGAAAAAACAGTTAAAAAACTAGAGTTGAAAAATCTATAGTAATAGTAGTCGTAGGCGGAGGAGGAAATTACGAATGGGTGGTAGTTTTAATACTTAAATTATGATGTATCGTTATTATTATTGTGTAAATTAATCAATTTTTAAAAATATTGACGGATATAATAAATAATCAATCATTCTTGTCTAATCGTGACATCATGTCTTACTCCCTAAAAAAGTAAAGATTAACGTCGCGTAAAAGATTACACAGGGCTAACTACATGTTAATTTTAAATAACTTTCTTTTTTTGATCTATATTTTCATTCATACTTGAATCAACCAAAATCTAATATATCAGAATAAAAAAAAATTAAAATGCGTTTAATTATTCGTGAAGATTGTGATGCAGTTTCTGAATATATGGGTTCGTTTAATAAAAATCAATAATTTTTATTTAAATTATAAAAATAGTAATTAACTTGGTTCCTTCCTCCCCCCAAAAAAATTATTTAGCAACATATATCAAGAATCGTATATTAGAATTTAATCCAACTCCTGAGAAACCTTTTGTTCTTGGTTTGCCAACTGGTTCTTCGCCAATTGGTGTTTATAAAAATTTAGTAAAGTATCATAAAAATGGTGAATTAAGTTTTCAAAATGTCGTTACTTTTAATATGGATGAATACGTTGGTTTGCCAAGGTAAAGTCTTAATAATAGTAGTAGTAATGATGATAATAATAATAATAATAAAAATAACAATAATAATAGTTAATAAATAATATATGTTTTGTTATTATTTATTAGAGATCATTCAGAAAGTTATCATTCTTTCATGTGGCATAATCTTTTCAAACATGTAGATATAAATCCGAAAAATGTTCATATACTCAATGGTAATGCCGAAGATCTTGAAAAAGAATGTACTGATTTTGAAGTCTCTATTAAAGCTGCTGGTGGCATAGAACTATTCTTGGGAGGTTAGTACCAGCAAAATTAATGTGTGATGATTGAATAATAATCAAATAAATTAGAACAGTTTTTTTTTACATTTACATCTAAAAATTGATGATGACGATGATGATAGGTATTGGACCTGATGGTCATATAGCTTTTAATGAGCCTGGATCTTCGTTGAACTCAAGGACTCGTGTAAAAACTTTAGCGTATGATACAATTTTAGCAAATTCAAGATTTTTTGAAAATGATATCAGCAAAGTACCTAGAATGGCATTAACTGTTGGGGTTGGGTATGTAATATTAAATTAATTGTATTTATTACTTATTAATTATTTTTAATATCTCATGTTAATTTTTAGGACTGTTATGGATGCACGTGAAGTCGCAGTTATTATTACCGGAGCTCATAAAGCTATTGCATTAGCCAAATGTATCGAAGAAGGTTGATATTATTTTATTTATAGTTGTTGTTGCATTAACACGTAATTGTTTAACAGAAATAAATAACAATAATATTCAAAATAATTCATAAAGGTATAAACCATATGTGGACTGTGTCAGCAATTCAAAATCATCCCAAGGCTTTAATTGTTTGTGATGAAGATGCAACACTTGAATTGCATGTAAAAACTGTAAAATATTTTAAGAGTATTGAACACGTTATTAAAAATCTTATTGGAGCTGAAAATGTTGGTTTACAAGGTAATATTAAATTTACATAGAGAAAGCCATTTGTATTTAGTAATTTGCCATTTTCTTAAACAAAAAAACCATATTTTGTTCCAAGTTTGTTATTACATATATGAATAATTTTTTTAAATTATTATTTTATAACATTCCTTTTTTTTTTTTTTTTTGATAAAACCAATCGAATAAATTAAACATTAATGTTAACTATTCATTGTATTTAATTGAATCAAAAAAGAAAATTATATCGTTTTGATTGAAAAATTATTATTATTTATTAATCATTATTATTAAATGTAAATGAATTATTAGGTAACGTAAAAAAGTATCCCACACCAGTAGTTACACCAACAAGAGAGGAATTTTATAATTTGCCTTTTTGAAAAATAAGATTGAATGTGAGATAAAAAAAACTTGGACATGTAAGATACAATAATGTACTGTAAGGATATAATATGTAATATAGAACAATGCAAAATGCTAATAATAATACAATAAATATTTACGTTAAAAAATTTTTACGGCTTGGCTGCTGGATCTAACCCAATACTTTTCATTTTGACAGCTATCTCAAATAAATAATCGTAACATTCACACATTGTCTTTGCTTTCTCCCATGATTCTATACAAGTTAGATGATAATAGCGATGATTAGTATTATAACCATTATTACTATTATTTTTTTTTTGTTATGAATTGTTATTATTATTATTACCTCCCCAGACATATACACCATGTCTTCTTACTAAAACAGCATTTGTCTCGGGATACTTTGTCATAATCTATTAATCATAAAAAAATAGATTTTTTTAAAAAAAAAAACAAGATCACTTAAAATAAATGTATCATCATCTTTCGAATTTACATATTGTGAAAATAGTAATAGTGATTTAAGGATCACGAAAAGAAAATCAAAAACGAAAATACATTTCAAGGATTCAAATCAGTCCAATTTGATAAAGTGCAATAAAACAATAAAATAATTAACTCTCGGGAATTATCAAGAAAGTAACATTTCTTTAATTATTTCCAAAAGAAAGGTTTTGTTTATTTTTAAAGAATCCTTTAATTAAGAGTTTTTAGAAATTGGGAACTAGATGATTGAACCTTTAACATGTATAAATAACATTTTAATTTTCTTAACTAAAAAAATAGAAAATCAATGGTTAATGAATAGTTAATTCATAATAAATAACCAACTGTCCTTAACCATAATCTTGTCCTGTTCTTGACCTGGTCTTCGGTTTTATATTTTCGTACTAATCCGTGCATAATTAATTTTCTCTTATTTTATAATTGTCTCTATTTTTATTATTCTTTTTATTTCTTTTTTTTTTTTTAATAGGTAAATTTTATTTAGTGAGGTTTGGGAAATGTGTCTGACTTGAGTAGGGAGTAACAGTGCGAGAGGGCATCCACCAAGAAACGTGATCAGGACATAGTGTGAAATCTAAGAATATTGCTTAGCAAGGAATCGTTTAATGATGGTGGAAGATAGTTTGATAGTGAAGCATAAATATATATTCGCGGAAATTATTATTACAATTTAGTATAAATTGGAAGAAATTGTATTATTGTATCAGCATAAACATCAATAAATAAATAACCATCATTGAAGTTTGGACACGTTCTCACAATATACAGTACATTCATATATAAATTATATATACAATAATATATTCAAAAAATATACATCATATAAATACATTTCAGTATTTTTTTTTTGTTTGAGAGAATTTGATAAATGATTTAGTACAGTGATTGTATGCATAATAATAAAACCGGTTGCCCGAAATAAATCGGTTTTATTATATCCGGTTTATTGAATATGAAAAATAGGAACCGGTTTTAAACCAATTGTACCCAAACCGGTCCCAACCTCCAGATGACACAAGATTATGTAATAAAAAAACTTTTTAAGAAAATACAATTATTCAAAAATCCATTTCTATTGACAATCAGGAAGAATATCAAGAAAAAAAGGTTTTCTATTCAATTGATGGTTTAAAGCTAATGGATGGATTTAAAAAGATAGTTATTGATTGACTCAGAGAATGAAATCAATAGTATTGTTGGTAAAATCACTTCAAAAAATTAGAAATTACAGAAAGTAATATCATTGAAAATAAAGAAGTCGCATATATCAATAAATAATAAAATAATAATAATAATGTATTGAAAACGATAAAATCAAAATAATAATCAACAAAAGAAAAAATAATGATAAACTATATACTAGTGTATAGAAACAGGTTCTAAAAATATTTACTTTGTGATGTTTTTTATTTATATATACTAGTTGCGTAACTATGGCAGATAAGTTAAAATATTTAAAGTAAATAAATAAATAATAATAATTTTCCTAATTCTGATAAAAAAAGTTAAAAAGAATTTGATTCATGATTGTATTTTGATTATTTTAATTTCTACTAATTATTTACTAATTACTTGAAAAACTTCCAATTCATCAAATACACTACCATTTACTAGATTGATGTTATTGTAAGAATGGTTACCATTTAATGCACTGTGAACCTTATTTGAATTAAAATACAAATCATGACCACCACCAAAAGTAGGAAGGTAACCTGGGCTACAATATATTGCATATTGTTGATTATGAATAGGATAACTAAACTGTGCAGTACTGATATCCATTCTATTGCTTATATTAAATATAAAACTATCATTTGTATTTTTATATTGGTTTCCAATCCAATTAAATGGATTATATCCACCAACAATTTGCTCAGTGTTTTGTATTTTAGCAACTATAAGAGTTTTGTAATAATCACATTTTTGATGAAAAATAGCTGCACTTAAACCATCTCTACTACTACGATATAAAAGTTTAAATTCGTATTTAACTTTAACTTCTCCAAATAAAGTATATGGTGGATTCTTCCTATCAATCCAACTTGCAAAAAGCAAAATAACCTTTTTTTTGATAATTATTGTTGAGTTAATTTTTGGAGGAATTCTTGATGGTAATAAATTTAAAGTTTTCTGCCTACCAGGGACTAAATAATATTGTAAAAGATTTTTCCATAAAGCTCTAGGAAAAAGCATTAGATATGGCACAATTTTATCATTAAAATCTTCATTAGAGATATCCTGAAACCGAATCAAAGGAATAAACTCTTTTATTGTCTTTTCAAAATCTGCAAAGTTTTGCAATGACCAGTCTTCAACATTATTATTACTGATTTCTGGATGTCTTTTCAATCCCCATTTAAGAATATGTTGCCATACAATTGTTTCATCCTCAACAACAAAATCATCTGTTTTGAGAATTTCCAATATAATTGGTTTTTCCAATGATTCAAATTTACTTGACTGAAATAATTTTTCTATATAATCCCCATGTTTCTTGATAAAATGTTTCATTGTGTGTTCAAAGAGTGACTCAAGACCAAGTTCATGAGCTGCAACTAATATTTCCACAATTTCAACTCCAGTAAAATTGTCTAATTCAATTTTACAAGTATATAAAAATCTTTTAAAATAAAATAAAAATATTGTTAATTATCATTATTGCCATTGTTTTATATATATAGAAACAAGGACAACATCAATAATGATTTTGAGTTAAGGTCACCCCTTATATGCAACTCTTTAGGCGGAATGGTTTTGGCTTAGAAACCATACCCATTTTTGCATAGTAAATTTTCCCAATAATGGCAAATCCCTTAAAATGCAGAACATTCTTTCAAAACATCATTTTCAACATTGTCCTTGTTTCTATTGAAAAGCTCCATATATTCGATTAAAAAACAAATACAATATAATATTAATTTAGTAAACTTACTTTAGAATAGGTCTAAAAATTAATTCACTAATATTTGGTTTTCCAATAACATAATAACCATTTGTTTTTGTTGCATTGGTTAAAGCATTTCTAAAAAATGGACAATGAACTTGTAGAATGAATGAATGTGCATGAATTTCTTTAACATTTGGTTTTACACCAACATTGATCTTTACATCGCTATTCTCTTCTGAATTTAAAAATCTTTCATTTTCATTAAAGTATTTTTCTAATATTGTTGAATCCATTTGTTATGTTATTAATTATTATTAAAAATTTAAAAAAAAAAACTCTTGTAAAAAAAAACAAAAATCATGTTATATATATACATAATCGCCATAATTAAATGCAACGCGGATCAATTTTCCCACACTAATATTTCTTGGTATTAGTGTTAATCTAAAACACGTTGTAAATATACCAATTTTTTCAATTCCTCTACTTTTTCTTCAAGCTAAAGCTATTTGCGAGAAGTAAGTTAATTTTAAACAATTTAATATTAAAGAATTTAGCATAACCATATTTTTAAATATAGCAAGCATATAAAGTCAATTAAACAACTAAACAAAGCAAAATTAATAAATTCAGTGAAGTAATAATTACAACATATAACAAATAGGATGATGAGTAAAGAAAGTTTCAGCTCCAAAGAAGTCAACTAAATCTCAAAACATTACAGTTCAAAGGCGTAACTGATCCTGAGATGACCCTTGTTTCAACAATTTTATATCTGCTTCTGCTTCTATTCATCAAACCTCTCAACAAAACGTCTAGCAATTCTCTCAACAAGACATTCTAGGTATTTTTTAAGGAAACCACTCAACATTCTGAGGGCCAAGTACCTGAACCTCCCAATCCACATTATCGAACCAAAATACAATGGTAATAATGGCATCATTAATCCATATGATATGATATTTCAGAAAAATCCATCAATTCATTGAACAAACGTGGAATTAATCTTTATCTCCTATTCAAGCTGCAATTTTTAAAATGGATATGATGTTTTAGTCAGAGCAAAGGTTCTCAAATTTATTTATTTCTTCATTTATGATTTAATAGTTTAGATTTTTATTTGTTTATATTTATATTTTTTGTTTTAGACTGGGACTGATAAAAACATTGGCATTTTTCACCACGAAAACAAGGAGAGTTGGTTGGGTCTTGGCGAAAATGATTTTGGTTTTGAGTGGCTTGGGCTTTTCAATAATCTTTTTCTTGTTTGGCTTGCTGAGTTTGGTTTACTAGTTTATTTATTATCGTATCAATTTCTTTAATTTCTGCTTCGGAAATGGTTTGACCTTGTTTAAATTTACTGGCTAAATAACCAACTGTTCCACTGATTAAGGAATTAATTATTGTTTTTATGGAATTGTTAAGAGCTGTTTTGGTTTCTAACAAATTTATAATTGGCGTTTCAGTCATTACCAATAACTGAAATCATATTGCCTTCCACACCTTCTTCCATGTCTTTTCCAAAAAAAAAAAATTAAAAATTTTAACTCAAAAGCAATGATAATGACACCGGCAAGAAGATCTAGGAAAAACAAATTTCAATCAAGTTTGAATTCAATGACAAGCAACTTTGACTTAAAAACTCGATGTATTCATGACGATACAAAGCTTTTACATTGTATAATTTTGAATTGAAATTAGTTGTCTTGATGGTGCTGATGAGATGCTGGATATTGGATTTGCTGAACCAATGAGAACTGTTTCGTAACTTGTTAAAAACAAAAAAAAAAGAAAAGGAAGTTGAGGGTAACAATGGTGATGATTATTGTCTTCAGATACAACACCTAATTCATTATTGAAAAACAATTATGTAAATACTGATGTAAACGTTGATGCAAACGTTGATGTAAACGTTCATTTGATATTTGCACCAAGTCACACTGGAATTAATTAATTAATCACCTTCTTCTATCAACACGCCTTTTTTATTTACTAATACCAATTGACAATTGAAAATAATCATTATATTATTATTTATTTTATTCAAAAAATACCTAATTGACAACAAAAATAGACCATAAAAATACAAAAAAGGAGGTGAAAAGTTATTAGAAGACAAAGAAGCGAAGATCATATTATTAAGTAGGCTTGCTTAGCATATATCTTTGGAAATTAAACATTGTCGTTGTATTTACTTTCTAGACTTAAAAGTGAAGCAAATGTAAGTAATTACACACCATTCAAATGAAAAAGATTGATTATTTTTGAATCTATACTTATTTAAAATTTATCAATTGATCATTAGATTGATGGTTGTAATGTTGCTGCATTAAAATGTTCGGCCAACTATATAGATCAAAATTATAATACAGTCTCATAAAAATTATATCTACAAATTTTTACGCAAATTCTATCTCCTCCATAATTACCAAATTAGCATTCATTGAAAATTGGCACGAGAGTAGTTTATAACCTATACCTTAAAACTACGAGACGATTTTCTTGATTCCTAAAACGTTTTACTATAAAAATTACGTTAAAAAAATGCTTTAAAATAAACCAATTAAGTAAAAATAAGTTTCGAGCTTCCAGAAGACGAGGGGGGAGAATCATCAACTGGTGCAAATCATCACACAACTGAAGCGCAAAAGGTAAAATTGTAATCCAAGAACAATTGTTAATATCATCAAATAATATAAGATGTTGGATTAAATTGAAAAAAAATTACTAAAACTACTTATAAGGTATCTTTTTTAATGGTCATGGAGAATCTTTATGTGTGTGTATTAAGCACATAGAATATTCATGATGAGTAATTAGAATGATCTGACATTGGATGAAGCTTGCATCAAAGGTGTCTTACACCTTAAATAATAGTATTTAGTAGAGCTATCAAAAAAATATCACTCGTTGTTAGCTTCAATGGCTGACACAATGACTAAAAGTTTATATTTTTTTAAAAAATATCTAACTTGATAGCCAATTAATTCCTTAAAAATAAATGAAATTATTGGAACATTTTAATTTTTTTGCAAAAATGTTTGCAGGCCAGGTTCAGTGAAGAACTCACGGTATATTGCAGTGTTGGCAACGGATCGAGTCCATTGAAACTGATGTATTTTGTTCTGGTCTATTGGCATTAATAAAATACTAAATATGGTTAATATGATATGCCAAATGATCTAATGGACTGGTCGATGGGGCTGTCAACTAGCAACCATGGCATATTGGATGTGGATGTATTGTTAGCATTGATCCTAAAAAGAAACCAACTCGTTGGGATGTGACTAAAAAGGACCCAACTAGTACAGAATATGGGATGTAAGAACTGAGGAGCTAAGAAGAATCGAGAGATATCGTTTGGCAGGAATGCACACTCATCCAGGTGCTCAAACTGTTTCGTTGCCTTTTTTTAGTTTAAATGAGAATTTGTTAAACTGACTTCTGTATCTTAATTCAAGACCAACCTTGAGGTAGTTTCATCGTATTGATCATTTGAAATAAAATAACAAATAATTTTTAAAATAAAATCTGAATCAAATTAAATGTAATTACACATATATACAAATCTTTACTACCTCTTCATCACGAACCTTAAAAAAATTTAATAATTTCAAAATGTTCCGCGTATGGTTTGGAAAATTTTTATCTATTATATAAGAATCATGTGACTAATTTGATAAGCATTTTTTGCCTTTCCCCCATTATCTAAACAACCATTTACAAATAATAATAATAATAAAAATAGATTAATTCTTCAGTACCTTCATCAATACCTATTATTTTAGAAAATTCAACATCAAATTTTTGCAATGTAACTACTTTTATTATTTTTATTTTTATTTATTAATTCATCAAGTAAATGATTTGATTGTTTTGAATTTTTAATTGTTAATAAATAAACGATTATGTGTTTGCTTTTAGTAATCATTGTTAATGTTAAATATTAATAAACAAAAAAGACGGCATGACTGTTAAAGATCTGGTGGAAGAACCATTCAATATGCAACATTTAAGCTACAAATGATGGAGCACGTCATCTTAAGAACATTACAGTTATTTTCTCACTTTTTCCTTGTGTACATAAGGCTAATCTGACTCGCATCCCCCGATGATA